TAAGCTTGCCCCCCTCCCCACTTTTTGAAACGTTCCTGCGGCTATAGCCGGTAACGTCTTAAATACAGTCGGTCGCGCTCTTCTTTGTTCCGTTATCTCACAAACTATTTCGGCTGTTAACCATGGCAAGTTTTGACGTTAAACTTATCCCTGAATTTGATGGCACCGGCGATATCGTGGACTGGCTTGAGAAGGTGCAGACAGTGTGCAGTCTGCAGCAGCCAGAGGCGGATGTTACGATAATCATCCCGTTGCGTCTGAAAGGCGGCGCCTCGGCCGTTTACCGGCAGCTATCAACAGAGCACGTAAGAGACGCCGAGCAAGTCAAGAAAGCTCTAGACCATGCCTTCGCCGTGGACGATTTCGCAGCGTACGAGCTGTTAACGGCACGACGGCTGCGCGCTGGTGAATCCGTGGACGTCTATTTGGCGGAGCTGCAGCAGCTGGCGACGCTGTTTGGCGGGCTGTCAGAGGAGGGCGTGGGTTGCGCTTTTGTGGCCGGCCTGCCCGAATCGACCAAAGAGCTGCTACGTGCTGGCGCGAGGATGGAGTCCCTCTCTCTTACCGAGGTCGTGGACCGCGCCAGAGCCGTCCTTTGAGAGGAGGGCGACGGACCGGAGGAGGCAGCCGCGCGCCGTCCTCCGAGAGGAGGGCGACGGACCCGGAGGAGGCAGCCCCGCGACCGTCCTCCTGAGAGGAGGGCGACGGGACCGGAGGAGGCAGCCCGCGCGCCGTCTGTCCGAGAGGAGGGCGACGGACCGGATGAGGCAGGCAGGTCCGCGCCTGACACGACGAGGGCCACTCACACGGCAGCCGGGTTCGTACGGCAGACCGAACAGGCGTGTACTGTGCCACGCGTGTGGTCGCCCGGGCCACATCGCGGGGCAGTGCTCTGCACGTGCAGGCGGTAATGCAGGGGTTATCCAGTGCTACCGCTGTGATGGTCGGAGGACATATGGCAGCACAATGTCCGGGAAACGGGGATCGAGAGGAGGCTCGTGCGCCGGCCTCCTCTCGGGACTGAGATGTTGCGGCGCGCTGCCGGTCAGAGTGCTGGCGCTGGGGAAAGTTGAGTGCGAGGTACCCGTCAATACAGGCTGCACGCGCAGGATAGTGCACTCGTCTCTGTGTGCCAATTGACAAAGGAGAGATGTCAGCACGGTGACGGTTAGCGGTCAACGCTTTGACTGTATCGGCACGGCTGACGTCCGTGTTCAGCTCCCAGGACTGCGTGCAGCGGTGATCGTGGACGCCATCGTCGTAAAGAAAAGGCCGCTCGGCTTCTCGGCGATCCTTGGAATGGATGGAGTGGAGGCTTTGGGCGGAGTGAATGTGAGGTCGCCCGGAGACGCGCGCTTTGGTTGGAAGTCCGTGGCGCCTGCGTGGCAGCGGCGGCGGCCGGGAGCGGTGAGGGGTCGGCGGCGGCGGCCGCGAGTGGTGAGGGGTCGGCGGCGGCAGCCGGGAGCAGTGAGGAGTCTGCGGCGGCGGCCGCGAGCGGTGAGGGGTCGGCGGCGGCGGCCGGGAACGGTGAGGAGTCGGCGGCGGCGGCCGCGAGTGGTGAGGGGTCGGCGGCGGCAGCCGGGAGCAATGAGGAGTCGGCGGCGGCGGTCGCGAGCGGTGAGGGGTCGGCGGCGGCGGCCGGGAGCAGTGAGGGGTCGGCCGCGGCGGCAGAGGCCGGGAGTAGTGAGCGGGCGGCGGTGGTGGCGGCAGCTGATAGCGTTGGGGGACCAGCGGCAGTGGTGAATATGGAAGAGACGGACTTCCTGGCAACGTATGACAGAGAGAAGAGGAAATGGACTCTGGTGTGGAAATGGGCCGGTGGTGTCAAACCAGAGAGGCTGTTGAATCAGGCTACCGAGTACCGTATAACCCCTGCGGCACGGAGCGCGTACAAGGAAGAGCTGTTTGCATGGGTGGCCAATGGATGGTTGCACCCGTATGACGAGCGGGTGCACGGCCCTGTCCGAGGGACCATTCCTCTAATGGCTGTCGTCAACCCAAACAAGGATCAAGTAAGACCAGTGCTGGACTTCAGGGAACTCAATGACCACGTCACAGCTCACACCGCCGACGCAGACGTGTGTGCTGAGAAGCTGCGGAGTGGCGTAAGCTGGGGCGCGACGCTGCACTGATAGATCCCCGTAAGGCACACCTACAGATCCATGTTCACGAATCTCTCTGGTGCTACCAGACGGTCGTGTTCCGTGGCACCCGGTACTGCCTGACCCGTCTGGGATTCGGTTTCACCATAACGCCGACTCCAGAGTCGACCGCGCAGCATCCCCGTATGTGGAAGATATTTTCGTCAACGAAAACGTCGCCCCCGCGCAGCATGTGGATGCCCACCTCCGCCGGTATGGTCGCGACTGTAAGCCAGCCGTGCGGCTGTCCGACGGCGCCCGTTTGCTCGGACTGCGCGTCGAGGAGAAGCGAGGACGGCTCGTATGGCGGAGGGACAACGAAGTGACTGACGCGCAGCGACCACTGACTAAACGGAGCGTATTGGACTTTCTCATTCTCTAAGCTAGCCGACTTCGATCTCCCGGAGACTTTGGCGCCGTCGTTGGTTTGGAGTGAGCCTCCTCCACAGAAACAAGATGTAGCACGCTTAAAAAGTCAAACTCTTCACCAAACACCAAACTCGTGAGCGGCGCGAGGTGCACGGGTGAAGGTCACGTGGGGCGTTGTTTCGCGGCGGCGCCCACCGATAATCATTGCATGGCGTCGCGTTTGTTAATGTTAGTATAGACGGTCGAGGTCAATCTGGCGCCACTTGCAGCATAGTGTGCAAACAAGCAGCAACGGGCGCGTCGCGGTATCGGGCCGCGTGCCGTCGGCGGGCTTTGCGTGGTGGCGAGACGCGGACACAGGCGAGCGAGGGTTAAAAATCTGGAATAGCGCGGGATAAAGTAACAGACAGATGCCACAAAGACATCTCCAGGGGTTCGCTGAGTATCGAGACGCAACATCATTCGGTTTCTTCAAGAGGCTGTTTCCACAGGCTCACATTGAAGCGGCGCGAGGGACAGCTATACAACACCGTGTCTATTGCAGTAAGGAAAACAACGTTGAGGAGTACGGTGACTTTAATGTACCGTCAAATGAGCGAGCGAGGAAGTTTGAATCAGTCGATAAAAAACCACGAAGTATCCTCCGCGCGTTGTCATCGGGTCCGTCACCCTCTGTGTGGCCGCCTGATCGCCCATCTGTGGGTGGCTTCGACCCGCAACTTCGTTTGCAAAGCGCCTGACAAACTCAGTGACAATATCGTGGGATGAGGAAGTGAAAGACACGCGTAATCGGGACGGTGGAAGAGACGCTGCGCCGTGCGACAGAGGCTGACCCCGCGGGAGGACGGTGGGATTTGGACGGTACCGTGGCGGGAGTGTGGATGGACGCTGGCTCGTTGGCACTGGGAGCGGCCCTGGAGGTGAACGGGGAGATAGTGGAAGGCGTGGGCTGGCTCCGACGCGGCGGCTTTGTGCACATTAACATGGCCGAGATGGACGCTGTGCTGAAAAGCATAAATTTGGCGATCGTGTGTGGAGCCAAGACTGCGGAGATGATGATGGTCCGTGTACCACTGGGTCTCCGACGCGCTCTCGGTAAAAGCTCGGCTGAGGACGAAGGCGAAATGCTGATTCGCCGGCGCCTGCAGACCTTCAAGTCGAACATCGAGGAGTACGAGCTGGCAGTCAGCGTCAGGTTTGTGAGATCCTGTGAGAACAAGGCTGATATTCTCTCTCTCGAGCGTCGCAGAAGTGGCTGCCGGCTGCGTCCAACGATGTCATCTGCACCGCCGTCTGCAGTGATGAGGCGGCGGAGGAGCTGTCAGAAATCCGCAGAGTGCATGAACTCTCTCGACACCCAGGAGCTAAGCGCACCCTGTATTTCTGCAGGCGCGCCCAGCCGACGACAGTGACAAAGCGTCAAGTGAGAGGTGGTGCGGGACTGCCAGCGCTGTCAGTCTATCGATCCTTCACCAGTCCCCTGGGAGAGAGAGGGGCTGGGCGTGTTGGGAACGTGGGAGCGCCTTGCAACGGACGTGGCACAGGTCGATGGTGCCCACTACCTGACAATCACTGATTGCGATCCCTTCCGGTTCGCGGTGTGGAGGCGCTTACGGGGACAGGACAGTGCCTGTGTGATTGAGCAGTTAGAGCAGTTTTTCTGTGAACTGTGAACGTCTTTTTCTTTCTGGGGGGGGGAGGGCTTACGGTCCGGTTCCGTGCAGCTCATGCACCGTCTGGAAACGGGGTGGTGGAACGATGCTACCGAGTGGTGAAATCTGTTGTGGCTCGTTCACAGTGTAAGGTGCCTGAAGCCGTCTATATGCACACTGTGACACCGAAGGACGGGATGGGACATGAGACTGCGGCGCGAACACGGTACAGCGCTAGGAGCTGCGCGTGCGCGGAATTGACGGAGCGGTGGGTGAGCCGAGCGTAGTAGCATGTAAGTTTGGTGTTGGCGACAGTGTGTGGGTGCGGGACCCGAGCCGCCGATGTGATAAACAGAGCTCGCTCGGCACCGTCACCGAAGTGCTGTCCGCGCAGACCGTGGAGGTCAACAGGATGCCTCGGCACGTGCGCGATATGCGCGTCGCCAGGATGGAGCAAGATGACGCGAGTGAGGAAAGGTGGGCGACGGAACGCTCTGATGTAGACGAGCCGAGCGTGTTCCAAATAGCGGCTCCGCGTGTGGATCAGGGCGCAGAACGCGAGGTCAAGGAAACCGGGGCCAGAGGCAGAGCCAGGAACGGGAGGGAACATTGAGGGCCTGGCAGTTGACGGTCATGATGTGAACCGAGAGCCGCAGCCGCCGAGGAGGAGTTGTCGTGCTGTACGGCGGTGCGCCCGTTGCACCGCATGCCAATGAGACGCGCTATATGTATATACGATCCTGTGTATGATGTGTGATATCTTGTAATCTATGATCGGGGGGAGTGTGCTGTGTTTATGCTGAGCCGGCCGGCCGACACGTTTGGGTCGTCTCCTCAGCTCTGTCTGGCGGCCGAGTCAGCTGACTGCCGCGCGGACCGGCCGGTGCGGCGACACTGGGAGATAGGAGAGGCGCGGAAGGGGTGTGCAGGGAGGTGCCGGTGAGGTTTTAAATACAGTCAGCCGCGCTCTTCTTTTTTTCTTTATCCTACACCTTTTTAGGAACCTTGGACGCACGTTCATAATGTTAATTCCTCCTCATTTCGACACATATTGGTGAGGGGTGAAAGCGTCTAGCAAAACGCCCGTTCCGTTAAACCAGGATGGCTCTCATCCTTCATGTCGCCCAGATAGCGTTCTTGGCCCTAAACGGGCCTGTCCTTCAGGTAGGTATTTCCTGGCTGGGATATTGTGCGGTCTTCGCCGAGCACAACCTCTTTCTAAACGCCTCTACGAGAATCATGTGACGACTGCGCCGAGTCGCACCTTTCACAAAGTTTAGTGGGCACCGTCCTTGTTTTTATGAGAGCCATCCGGACTTGTTATGCCAACATCAGCTGGCAAAGAGCATGACAACAGCGCACAACTGATGCGTTTTTCCCCTGTGGTCAGGAGGGCTCTTTATCGTTAGTATCACCCAGGTAGCTTCCTGCCCCTAACGAGAGACTGTCCTCCCTAATGCCAACAACAAAGCGGGCACCCGTACGTGTTACCGCATTCGCCGTAGAAACCGTTGACCGTGCTGATTCTGTGATCGTGGTAATGCTCATCTTGATCCGTTCTTATAAAATAGTGGTCATTGACGAGGAGACACGCTTAATGGTTGCGAACATCTGTCCTGAGCTTATCTCCTATGGTGAAAATACTCAGCCCTTCAAAACGGCAATAACATGGAAATGTTAATCAGGATGTTCTCATTTTAATGCCAACAATTTGGAAGTTTGTATTCTTAATTTTAGTGTAGAAGTTGGCTCTTCTCCACATTAGAAGGGGAATACCGGGCATGTATACATATACATAAATATATATGTACATAAATAAACACACACACACATATATATATATATATATATATATATATATATATATGCATATATATATACACACACACACATATATATATATATATATATATATATATATATATATATATATATATACATATCCCATCGCAACTCACTGTCAGCATATATTATGACGCTAATTTTATAGCGTCGGTGACACTCACTGTCAGGCATTTAAGCACCGTCTGTTGTTTGTCTGTTTTCGGTATACAGTCGATTTAAATCGCTGTCCTCGTCCATCAACTGTCACGTCAAGAATGGGTATCATGCTTTGTACACTTAGTTATTTCATGAAATTTAAACTAGGCCGTTCTTCAAAGATGTTTTTGAGACGTTCTAGTTGGTCGATGTCCCTGACTTCCACGAAGATAGCGTCTGCATGGCGACAATAAATGTCCGGTCTTATGTGGCCATTTTGTAGTTGTTCGGCTTGTACACGTACCTTAAAGAAATTAGCGAATAAAGGTCCTAGAGGTGAGCCCATCGCAACACCATCAATTTGGCAATGGTGTGACCACAATAACACTCTCGCGACGCCTGACTATGCACTTACGTGATTGGGCACCTCTGGACCGCATGCGACACGAACACGACAGGACATTGACACAACAACTGACAGAAAACACTGACATTTTACGGAGGCGCAATGACAGAAGACGCCTTCAAATTTCGGAAAGTATATTCATTAACAGACTCTCTCCAGCCCGAAACAGACAAGCAAATCCTCGTACAGTCCTTGAACTATTAGGTGGTGGGCGGTGAGCATTGTTGATGTGATTGTTGCCACAGTCAATTAAACCAATTCGGAACGTTATATATACGTGATGCCAGCCAATGCGCGGAAGTATTGGTTTCTTCCTGTACTATGAACGGACGTCCAGGCCCGGCATTTTCATCAATTTCTGATATGTTCAAAGAGTTTGCTTTCTTTCAGATATCGTCTCGGCAAGATGTGGTGCTGGATACGTTGTCTTACAGACTCCATTGTCTTCATATTAGGGTGGTTTGTCTTGATCACCGTCATGATGAAAATAATCTTTGGGCCCACTCGTGTTCAGCAGCTCAGAGATAAGGTATTTGCCGCGGTTATGAACTTCATTATGAAGGATTCACTTCGGAGATCTTTTGAAAGCACCAAGAAAGAGCTCTTCTCCAGCCTTAAGGCAGTGAAGTCGGCGCATCTGGAGCTGCAAAAGAAGAATGCGTTGAACATCCTGGAGGTATGACTCCTAGTTAATCGCAGGAAATGTCCCACTTATGAAGATATTGAACCAAGCATCAGACATGATGCGATAGGCTCACTTATGAATATTGATTACTTTTGAATGGAAAACACTGCTTGCTGTAGACAACATAATTTTTCTTTCTAGTAAATATGCTCCTCAATACCTCATTGTTTTATTAAGCCATCGTACCCTGCACAACATTGATTAAGAGCCAATTGATGGCCATTGTATCGTGAAATCATGCTTACGAACGTCAGCTATGAACGACTGGACAATAACATTATTCTTGGTATCTCTTTTACCCGATTACCGCATGCCCAATGGAATAGTAGGATTTGAATGACGTTATGACGTCATGGATGCCTGGGTAACCTTGCAACAGCCTCCCTGAAATAGTATCCATATCTTCGCGGGCGTGTGGCAAAAACTCTTGAAGGGTTTTTATCTTAAGAAGGACAGGGCTGTGAACTGCACCAAATGATCTTTAAGATGAATTTTCCAGTTCAAACCACTGAGCAAATGTGGAACGCTCCCTTGAGAGACATTACGTACAGTACGGGTGCAGGAAAACCCTCTTAGAGTGCCCCACCAATCAACGGAGTCTTTACCTGAGCAGTCGTTATGGAGTCAGTTGACGACAACTGTGGGCAAACTATTGATGCCCTACCTACCCCCCCCCCCCCGCCCACTCTGCCCAGGTGGGCGTCGGCACGGGCACCAACCTCGAGTACTACCCGGCCGGCTCGCGGCTGCTCTGCGTCGATCCAAACGCGGCATTCGAGAAGTACTTCCGGCGCGAGTGCGAGCAGAAGGCGGCGCATCTGGACCCGGACATTCAGTTTGTGACGGAACGCGGCGAATCGATGCCATCAGTGGCCGACAGCTCGGTGGACGTGGTCGTCATCACGCTCGTGCTCTGCAGCGTCTCACACCTGGACCAGATGCTTCGCGAGATCCTCCGCGTTCTCGTGCCGGTTAGTTATGGAGGCCGGATGTTACGCGCTGGGGTTGTTGGGCGGTCACACTTGTGGTGGGGGTGAAGAGGATGATACGGGGGGGGGGGGGGGAGGGCGTGGTGAAGTTCAATTCAAGCTTTTTGAGTCAAGTTTTGACCGTTACTCAATGATTCAGATATGATCAAAGTAATGATTTTGTGCTCTTAGGATTTATTCACTGTCGATTTATATTTCAGTTCAATGAATCCGCTCTGATTCAAATTGTTATCATGCAGTGTGTGGGGCGGTTTATCATTGGTTCATCTCACGTGCAGTGATGTTATGCTGGTTGATTTTATTGGTAATAATTGTTCATCCATAGTCTGTGTAAAACACCTTGGCTAGACATTATGTGCTTTCAGGACAATAAAACGGTGCCAACTGATTGGCTAGATTATTGATGATAATGAAGTTTTCTACTGTTTAAAAGTTTTCAATTCACTGTTTGAATCCGGCAAGCATGCATTGTCTGTGTTAGGTTCACTGACTCACGTGAGTCAGTGAGCTTTCAACTTACGACGAAGGAATACATTGTTTCGTTTTTTAATGAATGCATAGCTCACTTAGTCTACAGTCAGGGGCGGCGCCACGGACTTTGAAATTTTGCTTCTTACGCCAGGAACCTCTTGACTGCAAAGCCTCTGGCCCCTCCCCTTCTCCCATCCTCCCTCTCCTTTCCTCTCCATCCTTCCCCCATTTTCATCGACGGCAATTACCGTCGTCAATGCTGAATAGGTGTGAACGGAAATCCAATCTCAGCTACGAACTCAGCACAAAGGGTCGCAGTCAACTCAGAGTCACCATAGGCGCAGGCGCCTAGCACAAGTATGCAGCGCGCGCTAGTGGGCAAAGTACTGCACACTAGCACCTTTCAGCTGCGGCTGGTGGTTTCCACATCCGGCCCCATGCTGTCAGCGGTCGGTGACTCCCATGACCCACAGTTGTGCCGCTCGTCGCAGGGTGGCAAGTTCTATTTCTTCGAGCACATCGGAGACGAGCCGGGCACGTGGCGGCGTCGCATTCAAAACGCGCTCTCGGACAGCGGGCTGTGGCCGCTGCTGTTCGACGGCTGTGTGCTCAACCGTGACGTCGAGCCGGTAAGCTGGTGCTGCAGCGGTGCGGGGCACGGGGGGGGGGGGGGGCACCCAAGGGATTGGGGTCCGTGGCCGAACACGGGGAGCTGGTGGTCTGTGGTGGTGCGTTCCCGACCTAGACCAGCAGGTGAGTAATACTGATGGATGGGATGAAGACGACAGAACTGTAAGATTAGGAGAGCACGTGATAATGATCTGGAACAGTGTGTTTTGAGGTTTCCATCTATAGCGACATCAAGCAAGTGGGGACGCGAATTACGAAAGTGTCACCGTACCCTCAGGCATGCTACACCAGGCCCAGACCGCGTACGTGTACCGTGACTGTTTGGGAGGAAGCCGGCTAGCGTCGCTCAGGGACGCAGGTCACAGTCCTGACGCTGTCCCCCGGGCGTTAGGTGGATTCACAGCGTAGTGTCCCGCCGACAGGTGCTGACGGCGGTTGGCTTCAGCGCCATCGAACACCATACTGTGCTCGTCGCCGAGAACAAGGCGCGGCCGCGCTCGTCACCCAGCGTGGTTGTCAGCCCCGTCAATCCGATCCTGTACGGGGTGGCCACCAAGTGACGCGTACACTGCCGACCGGGGATTGGCTGACGCGCAGAGAGTCCCGAGGGCTGGTGCGGGCTCGGCCCGCTCGGGCGGTAGGTGCCAATCGGTGGCGCGCCGTGGTTGGGCAATGGGAGCGGCTGAACTGGATTCTACTTTATGAACAGTGTTGATGCAGATTCTCATCGTGGTGGATGAGTCCTGTATGATTTAATGCACTGGTCGTGGCGTTGGAAGGAAGCGCCATATTTGTCTTCTAAGTTTGGTGTGTGACCACGAAGTGAACCGATAAACTGCATCCAGCCTCGGAACTCCTTCCATCCTTGAGTATGAACGATATGTTAACATCATTGCAAAGCAAATGTGAAACCTTCTTATGTGATCTTGAACTGATATTCTAGATTATGTGGGTACGTTCACCGAGGTGCAACATGGCTTTGCTTGTATGATGAAAATAAAGTTGAACAAGGGGGAAGCATAAGTGGTCTGCAACTTCTTCAGGACTGAACACCAAACACAGACAGACAAGCATTGTGACAAAAAAGGTATCGCCTTGAGCGTAGAAAGTTACTAAATGATCGTATGCGTTTTATGGACAACACTCGGTTCCGGCCATGGCTGCTCGGTCTATAGATGAGGCGTCTTGTTGGTTACATTGATGGCCTCATGTGACTTTTTCAGAACCGAGGTTTGCTATAAAAACATTGTTATGTAGTGCAAAAAACGTGGTTCATCTTGTAAGATCCCGAATAAATGCCGCCAGTAAACATGTTGCGAGCGAAAGTCGATGATTTGCTGTATTTACTGTTTGTAGTTGCTATTTGTAGGGGAGAGGCGGGAGAATTGGGACATTTTTGCAACTTCAACTTTGTTGAGTCATTGCAGCAAAAGTATAAAAGCTAGGTAGCATTGCACCATACTAATAAATAAATTGGATATTTATTTACATCATACCAATACGTAAGTCTCACTTTGTGGTAGGATACAACTCGCGTGAAGCAAAAACAAAGACCTTCATTTACAGGAGAATCGAGACGCACGCAGGAGAATCGGGGAAGACTTGAATATCAATTGGGACATACTAAGGAGCATTGGGACAAAATTTCTACTTGGCTACATGTTCCATAATTGAATTGCAAATGGTAAAATAAATGCACTGCATTGCCATTTACTTGCGTTCATGACCTTGTCAATGGTCGTGGCAACGTTTCCTTCCGCTGAAAATGGTAGCACATCAGATTCATTTATTTCGTGTTGAAAATGAGACACAACATTTTAGAACGTGAATTCAGGATATATTTTCCACCTCCAAATAACCATTCTGTTTTTGGCAGAAGAACCCCAACAACGGGAAGGTATTTCCAACGTAAGATCGGGCTAGTAGTAATGCCGGCAGTCTACACAACACCCAGACGACACCGCCACACAACCTGCAGTCGTAATAATCACTTTCAATCATCACAGCCAATGCGCTACTTACGGCACAGCGGATCATATGACTATCAACCTAGGCAGTCTAGGCACATGCTAGGCAACGGCAACGGTCGAAAACTTCCTTCCTGGCGTCCCGATTCTCCTGCAGCGCACGCTAGCTACTAGACGAGTTCTCCGCCGTTTGTCAATTGGCTTACATCATTTTAAATGCAAGCAAGAAAATTAACATTATGTGAGCTTAGAATGTGAAATAGTTAAAAGAATAGATGGCTTGACATGAACAGCACACACATCTTGAAATAACACTCGAAAAGTATAGTTTTTTGGCACTCACCGCGTACAGCGTTCCTGCGCACCGGAAAAGGTAAGCTGATAGTTTCCAGCCCTGCCTGATACAAAAAAGAAAAACATGAAAGTACAAGTGGTGATCCGGAGCTGCCATCTCTGAGATCTTTGCGTGTCCCTATTCTCCTTCGTCCCAATTCTCCCGCCTCTCCCCTACGATTTAGTAAATGTTGCTGCGGTATGCCAAATATTTCGGTAGAGCCGAAGTTAATACCTGTATAAATGCATGATTGCTTCCATTATCATGGTTACCAGCAAGGGG